GGGGTCTACAGTGATATGCTACAAGTACATTGACAAGAAGCTTCTAAAGCTGGGAGACTTAGATTTGCATCAACCATCATGACAGGAGCATAAACTATATTTTGCTTTGATTGCTGAATCCACGAAGAAGTTAGGAATTTTTCCTGGACAGAGTTATCATACAAGCAGTAAGTTTCTGAAGGTATTCTGTTCTTGAGCATATACAAGTTTGCAGCAAAATAAACAGAAAAAAAAAAAATCCTATTTCAACACAATCCACATTGAAAAATCAACTCACAACTGCTTCCACACTAGCAACAGCAGCTGCCAACTCTCCTTCAGTGTCAAATATGTTGCATATGACAGGAGTCTTGATATCTTGGTGCTTCATAATGCCTACTCGACAGATGATATTATGAAAAAATGGAGCAGATATCTTAAATTAAATCATACCTAACTTTCATTACTGTGCCAATTGATTTCTGAGAAGAAAGTTTAAAGAGAAATAAACACTTCTCTGATTACTTTTATTCAATTCTTAAATACAGCAGAGAGAGCTAGTACATTCATAGAAAATGGAACGGGTCTCACTAATAAAAATCTCTCAGACACACACAATTGTGGAATGAGGAGCTTTAACATAGTTTTCCCTTATATTAGCTCTTGTGGTCTCTGTTGCTCTTTTTATTGCATTTTAATTCACAGCTCTCAAAGAAAAAAGAGTTCTGATGCTTAATTGACTTTTTAAAGTTCTTTCAATGGATGCATAACGTGCCAACTGATTTATTTTTTGAAATCTATGTCGTTTCCTCAGGCAAACAGTATCTCATGACGTGCTGTTGTTATTACAGATGATTTTGGTAGTAAATATTAACAGACAGCAGTAAACAATATGTCATTGTCATTAGAGATGATTTTAGTGGCGAACAGTATCTCATAACTAGCAACTATATAAAGATTAGGAGCATGAAATAAAACCAACAGTGCTAGCAAAGCTTTAGTCGTTACAGATGATTTTGGTGGTAAATATTAAGGTTTAACCTTCTGTAGATAGGCTCGCAGAATTCCAATGCTCCAACAGCAGCTTGCCTATCAAAAAGAAGATTTTTTTTCACTTTGACAAGTTTTTTTGACCATTGACAACATCATTCAAAATGTAAAACCTTCCAAGCTATAACATTTAAACCACAAAACCTCTTCCAAAGAAATGGTTATAAGGCTCTAGTCATGCATCACAAGGAATAAAAAAACAGAGGTGGTATAATTACCTGCCATGTCATTTCCCAGGGCACTAATCATATAAGGCTTAGTTCCTAGCTTTGACATGCACTCAGCAATATTCCTTGCTACACCCCCTAGTACATAATGGACCTGAATACAATTAAGCCCTTATGTGACAACATTTTTCTAGCATCACAACCTCTACCAAAAATAAAGATTATTATCAACATAAGTAGAAAAGAAGAAGAGGGTTTTGAGAAGATAAATACAAACCTTCCCAGGAGTGGTGGTTCTAGGATTTAGAGGGAGTGAAGGGGTGGCATGTATATCCAATACCATGCCTCCTATAACTACTGGGTCTCCTTCTTCCTCATGTTTTCTATGCCCACCTTTTATTAAAACCTTCAAAACAGAAACAACAGTAATAACCAAAAGTAGAAGACATGTTAGTCTACCAGAAAATGCAAGCAGAGACAGAAAAACACTAAAACATGAGTAAGAAAACGAAGGCAATGAAATAATCTAACCTGGGAAAGACCATTATTGACTTCAATCGGAGACAACAGGTGCCCAGAAACACGTTCCAATCTCCTCTGTGCACTGTTTTCCATTTAGTCTCTGTCTTTTCCTCGGATGGGTATTGGACTTTGTTCCGCTAGCAAGAGTATGGTCTTTTACCCTTCGGAACAAACTACCGAGTGCTGTCTTCGTGCTGTAATTATGATTGCACGTTGTCGGTGTGTTCCATTTTTCCAGTCATGTGGAAACCAGCGATGTTTTTTCAGCCCAGTAGTTTCCGGCCTGGTTGAGGAAGCTTTTTGGTTGGGATAGAATAAAAGATCCAATCTTTGAGTTGGTATTCAGCAACCCACAAAGGATGGGTCAGACATGAGACCTTCCGTGACTTCAATCCAATTAGTGTATATGTGCTTAAAAAAAACAATGATGGAGTCCATGATTCATCAACAAAGCTAGTCTTCCAAAATATTTTCATTTTTAAGATTAGTAAGTTATATTTTTTTATTTTAAGCTTATTTTTTATTTGATTGTAAAGTATTTTATATTCAATAATTCAAGCATAAAAAAAAATATATTTTAAATGAAACAAACTAGCATTTAATGTAAGGCCAATAACTTACCTAAAAGAAATAGAGAAGACATTTTTATTTGACTCGAAGATAGGTGAGCTTTTTTGGTGTGGCCATCCACAAACCTCACCAAAAACTCCACTCGTCTAATCCTATTTTTAATTTTTTTTATTTTATAAATTAGTAATTTATTACTCATTCATCCCATGCTTGACTATATAAAAAGAAATTCGATGGGCGAGTCCAAAATTGGTGTAGTTCACTCCAACTCTTCACAAAGTAGACCAAAAAACATGATATTTATCTAGTTATATTTATCAATTTTTTTATTAAAATAATCTTTTTATTCAAGTAAATAATAATAGAAATAAAAACATAAATTATATTAATCAAATAAAATAAAAGGAGAAATAACACATTGCAATACTACACATATTAAAAATATTTTTTGAAAATATTTTTTTATTTTTAAAAATAAATTTTATCTATACAAAAGATAAAAAAAAATAGATAAATCATAAAAACTCTTCAAATTTAAAAGTATAACTAAAAAAATAATTGTCATTTAAAAGAAGCTTTCTAAAAAAAAGATAACGGGTACTAATTTAAATATAAATTAAAAAATAAGTAAAAAAAGAATTAATTTAAAAAAGAATTAGGAAAAAAAGAGAGCAAATTTATTAGGGCTCATGTGCAGGCCTCCTAGTAGACCCTTGTGACTAAGCCCTTAATTTGTTTTTATCTATAATTGTTGTCGGCCCCTAATTGTTTTTCAAATAGATAAAGCATTGTTTGATTTGTCTAGATTCCGGTTATTAAGGTGGTCAAAAAATCATATCTTAAATTGTTTTGACACAAAAACCCATTTTCCAACCCATATTTGAATTAAAAAAAACATCTATAAAACACTATAAAAACCATGATTAACCTATCTATAAAATTAAAAAAAAATACCTCAAAAACTGAAATCAACCCAAAACCAAAAGTCAACCAGAGCTCAAATGGAACTTCCTTAATCAAACTATTTGACATAAATATCATATGTTTTAGTTGTCTAAATCTATGTCAACAGTACTTTTCTTTCTCTACTACTGAAATCCAATAACTTCTCTCTCTCATCTCTCAATTAGGGAATAAGAGATAACAAAAATAAATTTTTATATCAAAATTAAATTGAAAAAATATTGAGGTACTGGAATTATATAATTTGCATGCATTTTAAAGTTTTAGAATCAAAGTGCATCTTTTGTGAAACTTATATCACGTGATTCATGTTTGACACCTCTTTTATTTTATTCCCTCTCTTTTTAATCTCACCTTTTCATAAAAAATCAAAAACAATTGATCTTCAATTATGACTAAATTATCAGGAAAAAAATTGAGAATCAAATTAAAAAATATGAAAATTGCATAACCTATTTATAATAATGCGTGAAAGGATGAATAATAGAGACTTCTACAGTGAAAACTCGTACCTTTTATAGTTATACTTAATTAAGAAGAGAATTACGAGGAGTGTGTTTTTCTATGTGAAATATTGCATTATTCATCATTTCAAACATTACTATGGATGAATTGTGCAAGTTTTTTGGTTTTTTAATTTGATTCTCAAACTTTTTTATCATGCAATTACATCTTTTGTGGGCTAAATTCAAGGGCAATTAAATAAATTTTGTTGGCCAAGAATGAAATTGAAAAATTAAGGACCAAACTAGAAAAGACATTATAAATAAGTGATGATTTTAAAGTTAATACAAAATGTTTAAAATTGGTCCTCATATTTTAGAAACAATAAATACTCAGTAACTTACTATTTTATTAATTTTATTTTGATATAAAAATCTATTTTTGTTATTTTTTTAGTTCTTGGTTTCAAAGATGAGAAAGAGAGGTACTCAGATTCCAATGATAAGAGAAAAATATTGTTAATGTCGACTTAGGCCACCAAAAGAATCGATCTTTGTATCAAATAATTTCATTTGACGAGAGAAATTCATATTATGTAATTTTTAACCTTCAAATTTCCTAAAAAAAACATATTTGAGCTTGGGAAAATCCTTGATTTTTAGAGGTCATGGATAAGTTTATCACGGATCCTAAGATTTGTTTTCTACATGTTTTGGGTTTAAAAAGGATTTAAAATGGGTTTTTAAGATAAAGATCCATCTGACTTGATTTTCCAGCTATCATAATTGCTGGATTTTAGAAAAATCAAAGGACATGTTGTTTGATTTATTTTTTTTCAAAAAAAAAGATGATGGTTGTTCACCCTAGATTGCAAGATAGAAAAAAGAAGCCAAGACACGCAAGCCCTGATGAATGAAACAGGCCTAACAACGTTTGATTTTTTTTAATTTTTTTTTAATTTTTTTATTTATATTTAGATTAATAACCCTTCTCTTTTTTTAATTTTTTTTATAGAGCCTCTTTTAAATGATAGTTATTCTTTGGCTCTTTTTTCCCCTATATATATATATATTAAGTATAAATATAAGAAAAAAAACATTATTTAATCCATTTAAGTTCATGACACGGACCACAAATTTGACAAGTTAATTCATAACACTAGAACTTTTTTTTTTAATTTTTTTTATTGATATCATTTTTTAATGTTTTTTTTTAAAAAAAACTCTAAGTTATTTTTCAATTAATATCACTCATCTTTGATTTGTTTTTAACGTTATTATTTAACATTTTTTGGATAAAGATTGTTTTTAAATTATTTTGTTTGTGTTTAATTTTTGAAGCAATTTTTTTAATTTATATATAATTTTTTTAATTTTTTGTATAAATAAATTTTATTTTTAAAATAAATAATAAATTTAAATATTCTTTTAATATGTATAATATTTTTTTTCTTTATTTTGTTGAATCAATTTAATATATATCTATTTCTATTTATAATACGAGAGGACTGAAATTCTTCCAAGCCCAACGTCAGGTCTCCCAGGGATTTTGAGCAGCACATTTAGGCTATCCTTCCCACATGCTATGCTCATTTTTTAAGCTGAAAGTGTGGTAACATGCTTCGTCAACGAGTAATGCCACAGTTTTAGCATGGTTTCATAAAGCTTCAGCAACACTACCTTGGTTTTTGAGATTTTTATAGATAAATCCTTTGATTTGGCCCAAAATTCTTTCATTAACTGACGTGCCTCTAGAATATCTCGTCTTCCGCATTTTATGTGAATGAAATTACCTCAAAGCCAAAGTAAAAGAAAAAAAGGCAGCTGAAGAGTGTGACGAAGTGTTGGTGATGCTAAGAGCGATAATGAAGAGATTGATAATAATTTAGACTCTGCCGATCTGTCTCTTGAAGCGGGAACCAGATATTATCGTGATGATTTGGAACAAGTTGTGGATGAAGATGATGACTGACTCGGCTAGTGATGTCGGTGATGCAGAGGTTTCGATTTTGACAAATGATGGTTTCAGTGGTTTTGACGAACGAAATAGAAAACTGCAGGCGCATCCCCATTTGCAGGTCTTGAGTATGGGCATTGACTAAACGAAGATGGTCCAGGAAAGAGGAAAAGGGAAAGACAGAACAAGTGTCAATCACGAAAGAAGGGAAGGTCGTCAGAACGAGTGCCTCCTTAACAATGCTGGCTTATGTGTACTGTTTGGAGCCTCCGAAAAAGATCATAGTAGTGTATAGTAGTGATTTGTTTTTTTTTTTGTCCACTTGGAAACTGAAAACTGATGCTCAGTCAAGTCCCCCACAAAAACTAGGAGTGATATTAATAAGTTAATAAATAAGCATAGCATGGCATCTAGCCGTCTAAGTCACAACTGGGTTAGCGAGCCTTGTCACATTCTATTGGTACGGATTATAGCAGTGTTACAATCACAATTCACCAACAACGCAACAATGGCCTTTGCGTCCCTGGTGGAGCTGGCTATAAAAATGACAAGTCAAAAACTACCTCAACTTCTTTAATGGACATGCATGCACAAGTAATATCTTACACGACTCACGATGACCAAGGTAAATCATTAGCTCTCAAGCATCTATCCAAGATGCACATTTATCTGCTGCTAAGTTGGAGAATAATGAACTTTTAATCGAGAGCAAAAAAGTGCACAAAACTTGTCAAATGACCCACCTTCAACGCTCTCTGCAACCTCTGGCACTTTCAGACAAAAAATTATTCTCTGATTTTAAACTTATGTTGGCACATTTTGTCGAAATAGAGACTCCCATTAGTAGCCATCTCCTTTGCTTGGGATGATGTGGAGGGGATTGTGTGATCATATAAAATGATTGTGTTGAACAATGATTATGACGAGAAAGTCGTATGATGATAAAAATTTGGTGTCTGAAAGTTTGGCTGGTTCACGTTGGGATATATCACGAAGAACTCCGGCATATCATTAGGGTTGCAAGGTCGGTTGGTTCAAGTTACTTGCAGTGTTCATGTAAGGAAAAACATCGTTGATGTGTAGTCACTGTCAGAATATTATTGATCAAAGTAATTTCTACGAACCAATTTGATGTCTGAAAATTACGTGTACCGAAATTAAGTTCTTCTTTTTGATCCATTAAAAAACAAGCTATCCATATACCAAACATGAAGAATTAATACTAACAAAAAAAAAAATACGATCGTTGCGTCTATGTATAACTTAGAAGCAAACATTTTGACGGTGATCTTTCAAGCTGGCTATTCTGTTTAACTTTTTTCAGTTCGACTTGACCAAGGAGAGATTTCGTAAAACCTTTCATTGACTGGATAATTTATTTAAGTCAGTCCCCCGTAAGAAAGAATCCCCAACAAGAATATGCATGAGTTAAACCATTATGAGAATCCTGAGTTAGCAGAAAACGAATTTTTTTATGTTGAAACAAGCCAACGAACCTTACAGTAT